TGCTACTAAATTTCAATTCCAATTTCAGTAACAATCACGAACCCCTATTATTTTTTATTGTTTTTTATGACATCTTTGCACACAGAAGCAAGTTTGTTTTGCCTGCCAGTGAATCTTATTTAGTGTATTTGAGAATCTGATTGTGTACACTTTGTGGAGTAAACTTTAAATAAAATGTACAATGTTCGATTGTCAGCTTTTTGAGCATATATTATTTACTCTTCGCTACTGATAGCTATTGCTTACTCCAGCCATTCGAGTGAGGGACGATGTTACTCTCACATCTTCGGCCCGCATAGTCATGAAGAAATACTTTGTAAATACTTCTTGATTCGTCGTGGATTAGGAACGTATAAGCGCGTCCTTAGTTGAACCATTTATCTGTATAAAACATTCGAACTTGAAATGTCCTACAAGCGACCTTCATTCAAACGTAGTTTTATTATATTTAAGATGTCATCAAACTCCATACTGATAACATTAAATCCGATCTCTTTTTAACGGGCACCAGCATGCGTAGCATGGCGGTATCTTGCACGCGATATGTGATAAACCTCCCCTTGACATATTTTATTAGTCTTTGTTGATAAAACTATTTTGCCATTATTAAAATTTGATTATTTTATTGCGCGTACTGAATCGGTAAGGTACCAGTATATTTCAAAATGCAGTACTGTGTATAAAATTTCTTCTCGTCTTTTTCCAATAATTAATAAATTAACAATTTGTTTCTTTTTAATATTTCTGTTTATTTCGATTATAGCGCTCAATTTTTACGTTGATAAAATTACCGTGCTCAACTGTCGAAATGTTTTAAAACCAGCTGAGACATTGGGGCCATATTTGGCACTTCGATATACTTTCGCGGCGGTTGGTGCGACAAAAAGGTGACGTAACGTTGCTCGCCATACTCGCTATTGTGATAAAATTTCAAAACGGCGGTTTTATCATTAGAATTTGACAGCTAAATGTGGATATAACAGCTTTGTCGCGGCGGCATGCTACAGGGCTGAAGTACGTATTAATAGGCAGTAAGCGATCCAGATACCTTAATCAGTTCAAAACGCTTAACCCAATTACGTTCCAATTCCCTGAACACTTTGGGGACTGTTAAACAATTTAATAATAATCCTTATTGATATAGGAACACGTTGAAATTTCAATTAGAGGCGGAGATTCAACCACAGGCGTAATTAATACAGAGTTAATCACTTTTATTTATTTGAAATGTAAACAAAAGTGTGATGAGAGTAATTTAAATGGATATTAGTTAGGTTGGCGTAATTTTAAGCATTTGGTATACAATTTACACGGACACGGAGGTTGTTAAATAGTGTAATTATTAGCTTCGTGAATAATGTTACAATAACACTAAGAAAGAAAATATTTGTTTCAAAGCTATGGTAGCCCAATGGTATGACATATCTCAAGCAAAGACCGTGGGTTCTCGGAATTTCTGTGCGAAGTTTGATTTGAAATTTACAAAACATCGTGATGATAACTGTAGGTAGATATATAGATAGATAAATGAACACTTTATCCACTGATGTAACATAAATACAGATTAAGCATAAAAGAAAAAACAAAACATGATTGTCATATCAGTGAAACGGCGCTTACGCAGCATATGCCAAAGTTTCCTAAGGCGCTTTCAGTCAGAACCAACGAGAGGGATTAAGTTATTTGAAAGCAAAAATATAACGACTATGCGTAAAATTAACCATTGACAATAATAATATACATAGTAAAGTGCAAATAGTGCATCTAAAATAACCTGCGTGACATGTAAGTGCATGAGCGAACGTGAATATAATTACAGCTGTAGGAGTAAGTTGTGACTGTAAAGAGGTTTTAGTGTTGTGTAATGTATTAAGTATATAATATAATCATACACATAATGTGAATAGATCAAAGCAACAATAAAATTCGATTCTAGACAGACTGCGTTAAAGAATAAAACACACTACACAGATTTTTGAAGTGAGAGTAGGTGTTGCCTGTACGTCGAAGAAGGTTTACAACCCTCGGAAAACATCTAAAGTTCCCAACCCGCTTTGGGCCATCGTGGCAGACTATGTCCTAAGCTCTCGCCTGAGAGGAGACCCGAGATTTCTTTCAAAATTTCATTACCGCTGTATACAAGTTCGTTTTTCAATGGCATTTCTGGTATATTAAAACGATGTAGAAATATTATACGGTAGAGGTCACATAGGTCATTATTGAGTTTAACAAAGCACAGAAAATATCTATATATTATATTTTTCTCGAATATTTCTTACAAGGGCTCTAATAACCTTAGTATGAGAAAGTCCCCATTGACGGAGTATGTTAGCATTGCGTATTGTATTAAATTAAAGGTACGGGTTCTGGTGAAATTACAAGCACATGTGACGTGTTAACTTATGTGTCAAGGGCACTGTCCCTAAGATCTTTGTAATTTAAAGCTCTGAGAGGCAGTGCAACTTTTGTGGATAGGCGTGTCGCTTACCACCAGATGCACGACTCGTTCATTCCGTCACTTGATGTTGTAAAAAAAGTGATGTAATGCGACAATGAATGAAAGGAACTGCGTCTAACCCAGGTTAGATTGTTTGCACTTAAGGCGCGTCACCGATAGAGAAGCGGGAGAAACTGTTTTGCTATATCAAATGGTTCAGATAAATAACGGTTTCATAAAAAAAAACATACGACTTATCAGTAATCCAAAATTTTTTCAATTTCCAGAATTAACGTTTGGTCGAATTTTCATAACCTCGTAAGTAATTTTGAGAGGAAAATGTTTTTTTCTTTTAAACCTATTCCGATAAATGTCCAACATATCCTGAAAGAACAATGGTTTCGTTATAATTCGGTTTTCGGTGTAATGAAAATTTCGAACAAAGGTTATTTTGGAAAAAAAAAATTCGAGTTTGTAATAGGTTACCGATGTACTTTAACCGATTATATAAAATTCCGAAAACACGCTAAATAAAACGAATTATTTAAGAATAAAATATCTTTCTTTACACATCATTTTTATATAGGGGTATTTTTCTTTAAATACTACAGAAAATCTGCTATATTTTGATTTTCAACTGAAGCCCTACAGTAATTCAATCCATATGTATCACAAAACTTGAACATTGCCCAACGGGTTAATGACACGCCGCGACGTCCGCTGCCTCATCAGTCGTCTTCGGGCGCTTGTCAAAGTAGGGTCGGTGTCAAATTTTCTCCGTTTCTTAACGTGTATTTTGTTCATATTAATTTTAAGCGCGACGTGAGTGGCGGCCCCCCACACCTCACCTAATACTTAGGCTCGTGTACTAATGCTCGCCATAACTTTTATATCATGTAACTGGGTTATCAGGAATGTGGTTGAAACGAAAATAACTTTAAATAAATTCGCGATGCCGTGGAAAAACTGTTAGAGTCTATTTCGAAGCGATTTTTTTTGTTAATTATTATGGTACAAAAGCCTTAAAAGCATAAATACTAGGATTAAGGGTAGACGAATTGCCCTTCGGCAGAGTGCCTATGACGCGATCCCGCAGTATATTAATAGCAGTTTCCTTTTACAAAGTTCAATACTACATCGAGAGAAACGTATTGCAGTCAAACTGATTTTTGACATGATTGGCAAATTTTTAATTGAATTAATCAAAACATGATCAAATTCATTATTAAACCCGTTCATGGACAGTACTTTAATAACTTTAATTTTAACTTGCCCAAAAATGTTATGTCAAATTTCACGGTAAAGGTACTTTTCCACCAGCGAATCGAGACGAGACGAGACCAGATCAGGATTGAAACTTGTGTGGATTGACGACGATGAGAATTTAAACATTTAACATTTTTTTTATTGAATTGATATTAAATTATTTTTGTGAAATAATTCCACTAGCTTGTTATAATTATTAATACAAAGATTTCGGTTCGGCCGGATTCGAACCGACGTCTTCTAGCTTACCGTGCCAGACACTATACCAACTAAACAATTTAAACATTTGTTGATGTAATATTGAACTGTATCACTGACTGCATACAGTATTATACTCTGCAACGAAACACGATTTCTCGCGCGAGCTCGTCGATGCTTCTAATATCAAGCGACACGAGATTGTGGAGTACATACGATTTGAGATTTTTAAAAAATAGCTTCATCTGATAATTTCCGTTAACATATTTAATAAAAATTATTTACGGCACATGTTACTTTAGCCGCGTGTTTATCGCTAAATAAACTGAACAGCACTGAATCGTCATTGTCCATAACCACAGCGCGAGCTATTAATGGCAAAATAGACCAGCCTGATTTCAATTCTCGTCTCGCCTCGGCGGTGGAAAAACTACCTTAAAGCCCGTAGTTGTTTTTTTGATGTCAATATAGCGAAACGGCGTACCCTATACTATCATATTCTAATATTTAATTTGACGGTAAACGCCTTACTGTCGACTAACGTGTTAAAATTGTTGTTGTAATCATTATGCTTATTGCTGCAATCACATTTTACTTGATAGGTTATCAGATTGACGATGCCGAGAACTCGTTTATTTCATTTTTTTTATTGTTTTAAATTACACAACTTATTTGGGTGACAACATTGACTTACAAATAAATGGACGACGGGTCTAATACAAAAACCACGAAAAAATGTCCCAAGTCAACCTATTCGAAATTTAAATTGTTATGTCATCGCAGTATCGCGCTGTCCCTAGAACAAATGAAGACTAAAGCGGAGTGTCGCGCTCTGTATACGATTTTAGCGCCTTACAAGTGCGGACACTTTTTAGCGCGGACCCGACGTCCATATAATTGTAAGTCAATGGGTGACAAAAATCCATATTAATGATACAATGAACCATTTGAACTTGTTTTTGGAAACAGGAAATGTTAACAAATATCTGTTTAGATACAAAGAACAATTTCTAATATGTGTTACTCATTCCCTTTTATTTTAATTACGAAGGCGTAAAACACGTTGCCTATTGAAATTAACGTATTTCTTATTTCACAGTGTTATGTACGAGGAGCTTCGCCAGCGTTACCTCCAGTTCTCCGTCTACGACTTCGATCGATTCAGCAGACATGATCTCATCGGCCACGTAGTGCTCAAAGGTCTTCTGGAATCTGCTGATTTGACTCAGGAGATTGAATACACCATGAACATACTGGCTGCTCCACAGGTAAGAATCATCTATTGACGATATAAAATAGCTTATCGATAAAACACTGTGAACGACGACGAAGTCCCTTTCCCAGTTAAACTAATTTAGGGACCGATCACTTGGTTCCGGTCTGGGTTGTGCTACTGGAGTTTTTGCTGTCCGGAGTTATTTATAGTAAATGCAATTTCAATCATTAAGTTAGCTGGCCAAACGTGTTAGGCGATTTTGAAACAAAAGTTGTGCCTGTAATTTCACCAGCACGCTTAGCGTTCAAAACCGGAACGCATTATTGCTCACATTACTGCTTGGCGGCAGAAATAGGTAAGGTACTGCCAAGTACTACCCTGGACGAACTCTTTCACAACGTCTACTGTTACTAAAACAAAAACTACAAGATACAATTACAACTTCAAATTTTTGTGTCGTAAACCAAGAAAACGATTCTAATAGCACAAGGTAGCACTGTGAACTCTAATTTCATTGTAATTAACTGCCTCCGTGGCCGAACGGCTACCATGCCGGACTGCCACGCAGAGGTCCCAGGTTCGATTCCCGGGCCGAGAGAAATAGTTGTATGGCCTACAATTATTTCTCTCGTGAGTTTGGGTGTAATTTGTGGTTGTCTATGTGTGTGTCCATGGCACCCGCGACACAGGGTTTCCCTAGTGCGGGGCTATGTTGAGTGTGTGCGTTATTTATTTAAAAAAAAAATCCATTGCGACTCCACTGAGACTATATTGCAATTATTATTATATTTATTATTTTGCTAAAATGTAGTCGCAATGGGAGTCAAGTCTTAACAGAATGTCAGTGAAATGGTAGTGATGGCATCCATTTATTCAGTCATTAACGATCGATGTTGCCTTACTAAAACTACAATGGAAATTACTATGCATACCTTAATTTTTATCTCGTTTAATATGAATCAGCAATTAGTACATTACTGCAGAGGCTGGGAAGCAAAGGATTGCTGTACGAGTATGAGTTACAATTGTATTAATACGAGTCAAGCTGTCCCCATTCCCGCCGAGGCGTGAATAGTGCTTTTCTCAAACAATGCAAGGAAATGATAAAGAAACTAAAGAGAGGAAGATGTATAATAAAAAAGTAATAAAAAAAAATTAAAAGTAATATTTGACGTATCAATACAAACATAGTGTCCGATAACGAATTTGCATTTTTTTCGCTTCTACATTGCACGAAAGTTTCTATGTTTTCATGTATCTTACTTTGTTCATAGCCAGCCATTGACTTACAATTATATGGACGTCGGGTCCGCGCTAAAAAGTGTCCGCACTTGTAAGGCGCTAAAATTCTTCATTTCAGACTTCATTTGTTCGACTGACAGCGCGATACTGCGATGACATTACAATTTAAATTTCGAATAGGTTGACTTGGGACATTTTTTTCGTGGTTTTTGTATTAGACCCGTCGTCCATTTATTTGTAAGTCAATGTAGCCAGCAACAAATTTTCCATGGGTAATATTGCCGCTTGTTTTAAATTAGGTCTCGTCTCACTCTAACCATCAATCTGACCAACGCGAAACATTGCTCATTTTATCATTTTCACGACGAAAATACAAAAAAGACGAAAAAACAGAAAAGAGTACCAAAACACTTTGTTTTAACACCTTTTCCTTTCCTTTAAGTTAGCGGTTTAAGTAGGTATTTTCTCGCAATTACTAATACTAGGCAGCTGGCAGTATGAGTTATTTCTTTGCCTGTTGACATAGTTCATTAATTAGCAGGTAGATTTAAAAGTTTAGAAAAGAGGCCAGTAATGGATTGTCATATTTACTTTGCAGGCCTTGGCCGGAAAGAAGTCTCACGGTCCTTAAATGACTAACTTCCCGTGTTCGTTTTTTGAAAGTAATGCATACATTTCCGAGCATGTTTGAGAAAATATATTTCTAAAGGCGTACAATAGCGTGGTTTAAGCCATCGACGTGCCATCGACTCGGCAATAAAGAGCATAATGCCAACAAATTGCAATGGCTCTTGAATTCGATAGCTAGCCACTGAAAAACCACTACTCTTCGTCGTCGAAGAATCATTTCATTTTATTCCATGGGTAAAATAAATTGCACTAGAAAACGTCATTTATTACGAACGAGCATTTTAGGGATTCATTCTAGGGATTTTTCTTTTCAAGTAAACTTAAATGCTATGGAATACATTTTCAATCAATTTGTGAGGAATCTAGAACCATCTTTCCATATATTTTGTATCTCACATGCAGTCTTCAATTTTGTAGTATGAATTTTCAATTAAAATACTTTTAATGTTTTTTTTTTTCAAACTAAGAAAATGATAATTTTAATATATGCACCGGAATCTAATTGTAAAAACGTGTACAGTTGCCCTTAAAAGAGTCGTTTACCCTTGCTAAACGAAGTCTTGGTGGTACTATGAGTTTGGATTTAGTTCTAAGGTTAAAATTATGGATATCTTCTTTCATAATGAAATTCAGTTATCAGTTTCCTTACACTTTTTTGTTTGAAAAAACAAATATACGCGATTTAAATCCGGAAAAATAGTTTCATTTCCTAAGTTTCCTTAAAGTTTTTTCTGAGATAAACCTGAGAACCTAAACGTACATACGTCCAGAATATCAAATGTACAAAATACTGCCATAGGCATTCTAACGCCATACAACTGAGATGTTTTAAAATTAGCAAAATTGGTACCCAGATAATTGGGGAGGTTGTTAGACAAGCTATTATAATTAATATTGTAACGGTAGCTATTGAAATTATAGGTATCAATGTTTTTTAAATTCAAGTTAACCCTTCGGATTGAATCCTTTGTGCATGGATGAATATGTACTTTCATAAGGCGATAACGGTATTCAAATGCAAAGTGGTTGGTGTTAACGAGGAACTAATGGCGTTATGGAGGTGGCGTTCCATACCAATTGCATCGTTTAATAAAATGATAATCGAGTTCAAATTGGGAACGATAAAGGTAAAATTGTATTATGGTGGTTTGTTGCCTCTTTTGGTTTGTTTCAAAGGCTTGAAATAATTTACCATTAATGAAGTTGTACCATTAAAGAAGACCTCGGGAAGAAAATTTAAAGGTTCGAAATGTGGTGTTATCGTAGAATGCTCCGCATCAGTTGGACGGACAAGGTCACGAATGTCGAGGTCCTTAAACGTATGGTGAAGAAGATGGAGTTGGTACACTGTCAAGCAGCATAAGGTTGCTTGGGTCTTGTACTGCGACATGACGGGTATCATCTATTACACACCATAATATACTAGCAGTAGCGCTCCTTGTGAAAGAGTTCGTCCAGGATAGTGCTGCTGCCTTACTTATTTCTGCCGCCAAGCAGTAAGGTCAGCATTACCGGTTTTGAAGGGTAATGGTGCTGGTGAAATTACAGACACATGGGACTTGTCAACTTACGTCTCAGGGTGACGGGCGCAGTGGCAGTGCCCCTCAGATCCTTGCGATTTAAAGCTCGTGAATGGTAATTATTTCGAGTTGCTTTTCAGGCTGTGGTATTAATTACAGATGAGCACACAAATATTTTTACATAGATTTCCACTGCGAAAAGCAACCTGTTTCATACTAGTGGGTTCAAAATAATATTATATGTATCTAATAGGGCTTTCAAATTCGCTGAATTTCCGCTTTTCGGGAAAAAAAATCTTGGTGCGGTTTCGAAATTACCGGAAAAAACGAGGTTTTCGAGACTATTTCAAAAGTAGATTTCTATATTAATAGGCTAGGCATTTGGGTAATCAAAACATCAAACCTAATATTTTAATCCAGTTTTTTATCAACTCGAATCATAAAATTAAGAATTATTTGTGCGTTATTGTTTTTTTTGTAACTTTAATAGTGGGCACGTAAGAAGAAACAAAGAGGGTTTAATATAGTTTCAGGTAGAGAGAACTTGATTTTATTACTACCGTTACCAATTTCCACAGAAAATACTAAGTTTCACTCTACAGTGTTGCCATGTCTATTTAACCAGAACAAAAAATCTGTTTCTAATACTAATACTGTTTGACTTAAGTCTCAAAAATTTCAATGTTACTGAGATTGAAAACACCAGTCTCGAGTCTCAAAAACGCTAAAAAAAATTGTGAGCTACACAACCACTCTAATTGCCTGATCTCAAACTAGAGAATTCCCTGTACTATGAGTATTAGAGTAATGGAATTCTTGGAATTGTTCTAGGTGCTCTGGTGCACTCCCCAGAATATGGAGAGTGCACCAGAGCACCTAGACCAATTTAGAAAAATTATTTTCCCATATTGGTCCTAGTTTCCCATAGTAGCGCCACACACAGTTAGGCCACCGAGGTCGTCACAAAATTGTCGAAACTCTGCACTGGGGAGTGCACCAGAGCACCTAGACCAATTTAGAAAAATTCTTTTCCCATATTGGTCCTAGTTTCCCATAGTAGCGCCACACACAGTTAGGCCACCGAGGTCGTCATAAAATTGACGAAACTCGAAATTTCTGAGATCGAGATACCGGGATGAGAACCCTAGTATATAGTATGTTCGCTGAAGTGCGACTAAACGCGTACCATGTCTATAATATGCAGGCCTTGAATTAACTTCAAGTAGGAGCAGTAGAGCTTCTTGTGAAAGAGTTCGGCCAGCGAAATACTGCCACCTTACCTATTTCGCCGCCAAGATGTGAGCATCACTGCGTTCTGGTTTTGAAGGGTAAGAGTGCTGCTGAAATTATAGGCATACGGGATTTGTCAATTAATGTCTCTGGGTGACGGGCGCAGTGGCAGTGCCTCAAACATCTTTGCGATCTAAAGCTCTGAGTGGCACTACAGCTGTTATGGACGTGTATGTCAAGGATTTCAACATTTTTGTGAGCTAAAATGGTTCTGCCATAGAGCGACGCCACACAGGCGGTGACAGTACGTTGTATCGACGCACCAAGTGTCACACGAGCAATGCGTTGCCGCAAGGATGCCGCGCGCCGTTTCCACCCACCATATCGTACTGATTTTTTATGTAATACAACGCTGCGTCACCCTTCAGGCGTCGTAATACCAACGCAACGCATCGTGTGGCATCGCTCTTGCCGTGATGTTTTTGGTGGGCTCTTTTACCCGTGACAATTTTAGTCTTGTTTAATATAAGAAAACAAGTCTCCACGGTCTCGTCGATCTTAATGTTATGAAGTTTATACGGCAATAAGTTTCCATTGTCTTGTCAATCTTCATATAATAAGTACGGAAAGTTAAACGCTGTGTGACAAAAAGTTTACCTGTAACAAATATTGGAGTTTTATTTACTTCTTCTTGACTTACTAAGCTACGTAACAGAGAAAAGTTGTCAAGTCTCTTCCCGTTTTATGTTTTACTTGGGTGTCGGCCGTTGAAAACTTTTCTCCTTAAAGTTATTTATTGAAATCAAGAGCGTGTTGTCGTGGTAACACAATATTATAACAGAATATTAATATCAATAACGGTACGTTGTCTTTTTTTGTAATAATAATAATAACGCACATACTCTACATAGCCCCGTACTAGGGAAACCCTGTGTCGCGGGTGCCATGGACACACGTAGACAACCACAAGTTACATCCAAATCACGAGAGAAATAATGTAACAGGTAGTGTAATGTAAAGGTAATATTAAGGGCGAACAATTTTTAGGAATATGTAAGTTTTGTCGCTACGTTTGTGTTTAAGATATTTATAAATTTTTTTCTTGTAATTTTCATTTTTAACCGACTTAAAAATAGGAGGACGTTTTCAATTCGAATGTATTTTTTTGTATGTATTTTTGCGATTAGTCAAAATTAGCATTTGTAAACCGATTTTGACGATTCTTTTTTTGTTGGAAAGAGGGGTACAGTCTATTGTTACAGTAAACAGTACACAGTATCGGTTCTGTTTAAATTTGAAGAAAATATTACACCTGTAAGGGTGTCAAACTAGGGGATGAAATCGGTTTCGCGCACATTCCGGTAATCGATTTCAATAAAACTTGGCAAATAGATGCAACACCACGAAATATTGAGGTCTTTTTTTATAAAAAGTTGTGTCAAATAATTTCAGCTGCGCCTAGACGTTTTAATTTGACCGACGCTGTGGCAGATAAACTGAGTAGCACTGCAACTGTCACGAATAGACGTGTCGCTTACTACCAGGCGCACGTATTGTTCGTTCCGTCGCTTGATATGAAAAGAATAAAATAACGGCATTTATCATAATCGTTCAGTATTGGATAATAAACAAAGAACTTCCATGACGCACACCGTGACAACACAAAAAAATGGCGAATGTGGCCAGTAGAACAATACCGATTATGTTATGGAATAAATACCATACCGCTCATTCACCATAAGTGAAATTAGCTAACTTCTTATTAAATATATTAAGCTCTTTTTTTTTAGATTTTTTCTTTTTTTGTAAAAAAGAAGACTGTTGACTTGTGGTACAACAACGTTTAGACATAATATTTGTATGATAAATCATATTTATGGCTGATAGCTTTTCTTATTTATTGCTGTAAGTTGTATGTATGCATGTAAACATTATGTCGTATGTACAACAGAACAAATTACAAATTTTAACAAAGAAATTAAAATGTTACGTTACTCCACTACTTTGTTATAATTATTGATACAAAGATCGCTTCGAAAAAATCTAGCAAATCGTGGCAGACGCTATGCCAACTAAACCACGGAACGAACCAGCGGACTCCCGAATTTTTCTATGTGCTTGCTGTAGGGTCTTTGTATTTGGTTTTTAACGACTTTTTAGCCGTAAAGCCATCTATGAGATATCTATGAAAGTATTTCGTCACCCAGTTGGGTAACTTTATAGCTGGTTGGTGGTTGCCATTAGCCAGAGCTGGTAGCTATAGCTGGCAGCTGTAGCTGCAGTTGACATAAGTCGTTATTAATTGTAATTAAATTTGTATTGAATTGATATTCAATTATGTTTTATGAAATTACTCCACTACTTAGTTCGATCTATAACAAACTAGTGAAGAATCCGGCCGGACCGAATGAATTCTTTCTAAGTGTTCGTTATCTATCTATCTTTGTATTACTAATTAATACTATCATTGTACGTCAAACTATTTAAAACTTAATTCATTTTAACTGGGCTAAAAACCGGTAATTGTTTATTTTGTTTTTTTTTTAATATTGATACCTCACGTTTAATAGTATTCAGGATCGTGAAAATCCTTATTAACAAAAATATTTTTGTATAAAATTTATACCTGCGATAATTTTGACATTAACAGAAATTTGATACAATAAATGAGAGGTCTCTTTTTATAAAAAGCAAAATTCGCCACAATTTGGGATCACCGGCGTTATGTAATATCTTCAGGGTCATTAATCTGCTGTCCGTGTTCAATATTGTGTTTCTTACTCCGGATGCCAGGTGTAAGCATTTGCTTGTTACTTTATATTTGAGCATTTGAATGTTTTGTTCACACCTACATACTCACCAATGTATAATAACTGCGTACAGTCGCCTACATTTATACAGGGTTGTTTTTAAAACACTAACAACCTCGCATGACTATATTACTCACATCACACCATAAACAACAACTTTTGTTCCATGATAATTGTTAACATTTCATCAGAATTAACTTCTTTCTTCTCACATCACCAAATGGAACAGCCCCCCATAGAGATACAGATTATTTCGTCTCTATTTCTGGTTATATACTCGATGCTGCTGTGTCACCGAGATCGTCAAATCCAAATGTATTTTGTTAATAATTCCAATTTTTCTATAAAGACGTTTGTACCTTGTTCACCTTAAATGACGTTTTGAGGGTATTGTATTTAGGTGATTAATGATCTGTATCTTACTGGGGCACAATACTTTTACTGTCAATTTGTTCTGTAACAAACGACCTACGTAGCAGATTTCAAGGTAGCGCCTTTGTCATGAGATCTTTGTCACAGTTTCAAGGTGGTTTCGATCAATATCTGAAGATACGTATTTGCCGATTTTAATAGCATCTATTACACCTTTAGAACGAAAGTGACCTAACGCAAAATTATAAGTTTTTGAGAACACGCAAAATAAAATTTGAAATTATTACATTTTCACATTATATTATTAATAAATTAAATTACTCCTGAATAACTAAAGGCTATGAAAAATAATGATGGAAAATTGAATTTTATAACGTCATTATTTCTTTGATAATGATTATTTTACAAAATCTTGTCACATTTCTTCCAAAATTTTTTGTTGTCATTAGAACTAAGCAAGATGTTTTGACCTTGTGAAGATTAGGCCACTTTAGTTTTTAAATAAAGTCATCTAAGTAAGGCGCGTTTATAAAAACTTAATTATGTTTTTCGGGGCGAAAACGAGTCAGAAACTGACTTTAGCTGCCTCCGTGACCGAACGGTTACCATGCAGAGGTTCCGGGTTTGATTCCTGAGCCGGGAGAAATATTTGTACGGCCTACGTTTACTTCTCTCGTGAGTTTGGGTGTCACTTGTGGTTGTCTATGTGTGAGTCCATGGCACTCACGACACAACGTTTCGCGTCTCCGTAGATGCCGATACAATACTGAATACATCGTTTACATACCGACGAGTGAATAGAATAAAATATTTGAATGAGACCCATGTAGTGTCAATGTAATTCGAGTTGTAATGAATAGGTCACTTCCAGATTAACAACCTTGTTTTTTATGAGACCAAGTAATGGAACGAACAAGTCACACACCTGGTGGTAAGTGACACGTCTGTCCATAACAGTTGCAGTACTCAGTGCTTTAAATCACAAAGATCTGAGGGGCACTGCCGCTGCGCCCGTCGCCTTGAGACATAATTTGAAAGTTCCATGTGCCTGTAATTTCACCAGCACCCTTACCCTTCATAACCGGAATCAGTAATGCTCATATTACTGCTTGGCGGCAGAAATAGGTAAGATAGCAGTACTTCCCTGGATGAACTCTTTTACAAAGAGCTCTACTGCCATTATAAGCAATGATTTTTGAAGTCATATTAAGTACAGGGAATTTTCTAGACTGATACCATATAATAACACCACCTGACATATTTATTATATTAAATTATACTATGCAATTGATAGTTATTTTATTCAAAACAACAAAGACCTAGATGAAGTGGTCGTTTATCTTCTTCCAATCCTAGTGCACTAAGCATCATAATCCTTCAAAATCTGTGATAATTTAAAATAAAATTTAGTATTCTACATGTTTTTCTATCAGAGCAGACAATTCACTGGATGGTAGGTACTTTTCGTCGTCGTTACAAACTTTTGCGAACTTGGTTTACCCGATTTTTGATGAAACTCATGTTGTAGCGCAACGAAAACACCTGAAGGAGACCATTCCCAATGTTGTAGGTTCAAGGTATCAAGTGGTTTTACTGACAAATAGTTAATATAATTTTCTTGTCAACAGGAGAAAAAAGACCTCGGCGAGCTGATGCTGTCCCTTTGCTACTTACCTACAGCCGGAAGGTTGACTGTCACTGTTATCAAGGGAAGAAATCTGAAAGCCATGGACATCAATGGATCGTCGGGTAAGTTACCAATAACTGGAATGTATTATTCCATTATCATAGACAGTCCACATCTTTCTACATAAGTTTTGTTTATAGTGACCTATCAACCTCTTGGTTATACTGGAAGGGCACTATAACCTGTGCAAGCCATCCCGCACAGGGATCTTCTCAGTCAGGTCCTGACCCCAGATCAGTCCGCACAGACTTCATCCGGTTCTCATAAGTCTTGTGCCTTGGGTGAGCTGCACGTACAGCACCCTCCCTATTTCCCAGATAGGTATCGGAGCTGTAGGCACGCTTACTTCCCGTTGCGTGTTGCGCAGTAACGTTTGCCACCGTTAAGCCGTTGACTTTAAAGTCCGCTACCAAATCTCCTCTCCTCACCTCCCAACGCCGAAGCGTCTCTTCAATTCCCAGAAACCTACATGCCTGGAGGGACCGGAGGACATCTAGCTCATCCTTTATTAGCTCTCCGGGCTAGTACCGGTAGCAGTGTCCTGCGACAATGTCCGGACATACCCCCCAACTTAAAGGGCAACTCATGTGTCCCGCGCGTCTCCTCGTTTCAACCACCAACCTGACGCGCTAGCTGCGCAGTGCATACATTGACACGTCGAACAGACGGGAGTTGGACTTATTACCTGTACTGTGTTTCTGGGCAGAGGTCTCAAGGCTATTCTCAAATCTTCAAATCAAGATTTATAAAGATATTCTTTAACAGGAGGTTATATTACGATGTTTTCATTACCGTTAGAAGAAGTAATAATTTAATAAATAAAACTTTGGTACATATTTTCACGACTTCACCGTTTACGGTGGAGCCCAAACGTTCTTTGCACATACGTACTGATTTAAATATTCACGATTTTCATACATTATTTGATTACAAATTCGGGACTTAATAGTGTACAAAAATTTATTTTATTTACCTCGACGTTTCGGACGTATTTATCAGCCGACAACGAGCTGGATGTCGTGAGGGCAGTTAGAAAAACTCGCACGGCTAGAAGATGTTAACGGGTGTTAACATCGTCTAGCCTCTTCAGTCCCTTCGAGACCATGGACGTTGCAACATGTGTATACGAATAAAATGTTTTTATACCTGATAAAGAGCTTTTGCGGACTACGTTCGAATCTTATAAGTTCCAAATCCGAGAAATGACGGTCCAAAATGTTACAGGGATCATTTTATCTCTAGGTTTGCAAGCAATATTCGAATTTTCTAGAATTCGAACCGGATGCAATGCGCAACCGCGGTAAGCCGCGAATTTGAAATCAAATAATGAACATACGCACGTGGCTTAAACGACAATATTGAACAAACAAACTAATATACAAAGGATTAGCATAAAGTGATGCCCCGGAATATTTGTTTCAAATTTCATTTATCGGTATGGGACGAATTTAATTAAGAACGGTCAAGCCTCTTCCTATAGTAACCGAAGTAAATTCCGTGGCCGTGGGCACAGAATACTTAATAAAGAATGGTCTTCAAGTAACGTCATGGTGCAGACACGTGACAGAAAACATAAAAGTTGCCTTTCACTTCTTTACTACACTGGAATGGTCGACCAAGAAGAGAATATTGAATAAAGAAATATTGAAGTGCCTTTATTTACTGTTTTTCGATTGAACAGAAAAGTGAAATTGTATATACAAACCTGTATTCACCTATAAGTACTATTGCTGGCACGTATATACTCGAAGATACTTGAAAGGGAAGTCTCGCTACATTGTGAATAAGTTTTCGAATTTCAAATGTGTTCGACGAGTTTTGGTGTTATTAAAACACGTAAAATAACAATATAAATAAAATATAAACGCTTTTCTCCACGAAATAGAAATAAGAATATTGACGCACTTGTATAAAATAAAATTTAAAAATTAAATTATGTATAAATTTAAATATAAATTTTAAATTTATTTGCACTACTAAAGCTACACAACTCCCTTCCTTATAACCCTCTGCTTATGTCTCGTAGACGAAAAAACATTTTACTACCTCAACCAATTTCCAAATCTATATTCGCCAAAAGGCAATTTATAGTAAAATCGGCACATTTATATAAAATATTGTTAATAGAAAAATAAATATTTACTATTTATACTTGTACAAGTGTAAAAAAGCGCTGACACTTAATTTTGAAGAAACGGATAGCATAATCCCCACTTCATGTATTCACACACATACTTATTCTGGTATAAAAACATAAGTTTCTTATTCTTTATCCTTGTTGTTTTACATTTACAGTTTGTACATTTATTATATTATATTTTGCGCTTTGTTTCCTCTATAGTTTCAACAACAATAAAATTTCTAGCCTGTAATATACAATAAATAAATAATCTTTATATCAAAGGCAAGCAAATTAAATTTCGTCATATTCATTAAACTCTACTACTCATATGTAAGGAAGGTTCTTCTGAGAAGAATGTACAATGGTAACCTATCACAAACTACCGAAGTAACGTTTCTTCGAATTTTCATTACTCCGAAAACCGAATTATAACGAAACCGTTGTTCTTTCAGGATATCCTGGATGTTAATCGCAAAGGTTCCGTTAGGTTAGGTTAAGGTAGGTTTAAAAGAAAAAACATTTTCCTCTCAAAATTACTTTTGAGGTTATGCCAATTCGAGTAAACGTTCTTTCTGGAAAATGTCATTTCGGACTATTGATAGGTAACCGTTACTTATATTATTAAATTGTGTTTGTTTCCTAAAAGTAAAGGATAACGGAAGAGCGGAACTACCTGTCACAGGTGGATGACACCTACTAGGAAGTCCCAACGTTACGTAAAAACAACTAAAAAAACAGAAACTAACTTAACTTAACTGCCTCCGTGGCCGAACGGTTACCATACCGGACTGCCACGCAGAGGTCCCCGGGTTCGATTCCCGGGCCGGGAGATATATTTGTATGGCCTACATTTATTTCTCTCGTGAGTTTGGGTGTAATTTGTGGTTGTCTATGTGTGTGTCCATGGCACCCGCGACACAGGGTTTCCCTAGTGCGGGGCCATGTTGAGTGTGTGCGTTATTATATATATATATATTAGAAACAAACTTTTTATAAGAATGAACCAATTTTGAAAACATTTATGCCACTCCTCCGTGATAATCTCTGAAACATATTTTTCATACTCTTCGACAGCCTCTTCAGGTGATGAAAATTGTTGACCGCGTAAATGGTTCTTAATTTTTGGAAATAAATAATAGTCACAAGGTGCCAGGTCGGGACTGTACGCGGGATGGTTCATAATAAGGTCAACGTTGCTCACCTTCAAAAATTCATTTGTCTGTCTGGCCGTGTGAGAACTGGCATTATCGTGGTGAATGATGATACGGCGTTTACGGTTATTTTTACGGAGTTTGTCAATAACTTCCGGCATACAAATGGTCGTGTACCAAACACTGTTCACGGTAGTAGCCACCTGTCCAGTTTTATTAAAAAAATAAGCAATCATCCGCTTAGAGGCACTTTGCACGCGCGCCACTTTGGTTGGTTTCGGCTCATCTCGAAAGACCCATACGCTCGATTGCTGCTTTGTTTTGGGAACGTAACTATAAATCCATGTTTCGTCACCTATTACTATGTCCCACACCAAATTTGACGTCCCTTCGTTGAATCTGGTAAGCACGGTATTGCACTATGTGACGCGATCCGTTTTTTGAGCCTCAGTCAAATTGTGTGGGATCCACCGAGAGCACAGCTTTTTCACACCCAAATGTTTGTGTAGTATGGACTGTATTAAACTCATGCCTATGCCTAAAGATGCTCGAATCTCATGGTATGTCACATGCCTGTCTGTTTTGATCATACGGCGCACAGCATCGATGTTTTTGTTGTTCACAGCAGTGGACGGGCGACCATCACGAAATTCTTCACTGAGATTCACACGACCGCGTTTGAATTCTACAAACCAGCTATAAATAGTCGTCTTGCATGGTGCTTCATCGCCAAAAGCAGTTTGAAGCCGAGCGAAGCTCCGCCGAGCTGTTAAATTATACTTAAAGTCGTAGAAAATCATACTACGAAAATTTTCACGAGTTAAATCCATGGTGATGTAGACAACCAATTTCTAAAATGACGCCAGAATGTAAAAACAAGTGACAGTCAGATGAAACAAACTGTATTTTACAGCCAAAGAGTTCCACTTTCAAATCTTAGCGGCTAGTTTCGGAAACTTACAGTGCGCCCTATGTACAATATGCATTGTAATAAAAAACAAATGAAAACCGAGGTCAAACTCAAATTCAAACAATCTTAAATCCATATGTAAGCAAATTACAATTTGAATTCGTTACATTGATTAAAGTCTACTACTCATTCGCAAGGCATATTCTTCTGAGAAGAATGAATAAGAAACTTTAGGGGTTGCTGTTTGTAAATAAACGTTTGTATACATTTACAATATTAATTTCAAATATGATAGATTAAGAAAACCCGCAAGAACTAGACGGGTCATTACCACTGATTTTGGTTATTCAAGTGCCCTTTAGTCTAAAGTTTTAGTTTCAATAATGTTTTAAACCTTGTAAACGTAAAATATCGATCAGAATTTTACTAAACAGGCGTATACATTTTATTCGATTTTGATTCATTTCATTTATTCTGTTTCACAACAAAACAAATTGTTGACATTTAATTTTGACGAGTCAAGTGAATTTCCGTGATAACCGATATTCTCAGAAATATCCAACAACAGTGTTTAAGTACCTTCTTAACAAAACAATATCCCTAGTGTATTTTAAATCTTTTATGAAGACAACAGGAGTCATTTGTTAAAAATTCTCGTAACAGCATCGAATTCAGCTTTGAATTGGAGGTATATTTTTCCACAAAACATGTAAATGAATTTCTTTATTTACTAATTAATTTGAAATCGATAATCTTGTCCTCAGATCCTTATGTGAAAATCTGCCTCATCTGTCAAGGAAAACGCATCAAGAAGAAGAAAACGACTGTCAAGAAGAATACCTTGAACCCTGTGTACAATGAGGCTCTGGTTTTCGATCTACCCTTTGAGAACGTGTATGACGTCACTCTCCTGATCAAAGTCATCGATTATGATAGGTGAGCCAATTTATTTTCTCGGTATCGTACTTCAAAAGAAAAAAAAAATAGAAGCCAGAAATAGAAATCGTTGTTCGCGGGTAGGTGTACTTTGTGAAACAAAAGACTGAACATGTTTTTCGTGATATTCAAACTTTAATAGAGTCATATCCTCCTCAGGATTGGTCCTAACGAACTTATCGGCTGTACTGCAATTGGATCCAGCCTGATTGGCATTGGACGTGATCATTGGCTGGAAATGCTAGACAACTCTCGAAAACCTGTCGCTCAGTGGTACCCGCTGAATAAGAGTCTGCCCACGAACATTGAGTTGCCCGCAAATGACCAGAACATTGGATTGAGCTGCTTGAATGGAAGGTAAGGAGGCTGAATTATTTATCAAAGAATGAATTTATAATGAATGATATATATAAGTCAAAATTAATTACATTATAATAAGGTCAGGGGCACGTCAAGCTTGATTTTTAACGCTTGGGATAAGCAATCTAAGTTCAAATTATCAAACGCGATTAGATAGGTATTTGCCCACCTATCCATTGTTTCGAGATTTCTTAGTTGCTTTTAAATTTATAATAGGTGATTTACGATAAAAATGGCTAATAATTATTTTCGGTAAATTATAAATTAAGTTGGTAGAATTACGTCAGCAAGATTTTTTTTGGAACTTTCAGCATTTTATTCGGTTGTTTCCGTACTTTGTACAAAAGTTTTCGGTGGCTTAGTAAATAACATAATAAAATTTATATTTTGAATAATTCCATTTTAAATTTAGTTAATGTAAATAAAATAAAAACTTAGTATAATGCAACTCGAAAGTTTAATATATTCATCTAGGAATACATTACTAGTGGGGCACGGACAACTCTCCCATAAAGGGATCTCCCATAATCTCCCACACTTTGTGTCCAATTTTTATAGTATAGCTCAGTAGAGAGTAAGAAGCTAAAAAAGACCTGGAAATTTAATAGAAAAACTGGAACACTAACGAACTAGACACCCTGCCTGACAAAACTTTTGGTTTAAGGGGCGGGATTACAACCTGTCCCGTCGGAAAGCAACGTCATGGTACATTTTGATTTCGGTTCTAACTTGTTAAAAGCCAAAGTGACATTTTGTGTGCTTTTGACTTGACGTGCTCTTGACTGTACATTACTCAGACTACACTTAAGGAATAAATTCTGTTCTGTCATCTGTTCCATTCTGTCGTCTCAAATACCAAAATATGAGATTGTAAGTACGTAGCTATATACGCACTGTCGTATATTTTTTTCAGGAACTAACAATACCTATTCATTTTCTATGTGTAACAATCGCAAAAACCTGAGAACTCGATAACTAACAATACCTCTAAATTAAAATATTTGTATAGTGAGTTTTAATTTTTTTCTGCACTGGTTGGGACTCAGTGCCATTTACAATTCAAATGTTTTAGGCAGTTGCTAGCATGTTGTTAGTGACAACAACCGCCGCTCACTCACTATAGAGTGTTCTTTTTGTCACAGTTGTTCACGTTTCATAATAAAATGGCTCACATTTCATATTTTGGAATCCCTAAATTCGACACCACAGAAATATAATTTAACATTTGTTATTAGTTATCGTACGTAAGACGTGGGCGTTTTCCTTCAAAATTCCCAAGATTTATTACTTAAATAAGTAAATTAGAAGGAAAGTTTTGGTAACATTTAGTGTTTAGGTGTGATAAACGTAAATTAATATCCAATTATTCGTATTTGTTTACATACTTAAACAGGACTTTGAAACGGTTTGAATAGCAATCGAAGTGCTGTACACGTGACTTAAAATGTTCCTGGATCTCACACGACAAGCAGGCTTATTCGCGATGTAGTCTTTTTAACTTAAGAGTTTTTGATTAATTCACAATCTGGTACAATAGTATTAAAAGCCGCTAATCTGTTAGACGTTAGATGAATAATAACATATTTATGTCTATACAGCATATTCGTGTGGCATGAGTGCCGAGAGCCATCCAATTAATCCGCGATACTCTTCATCCGCTGGTTCACTCGCGGACAGTCCGCGTTGCACTGTTAAGGCCCTTAGAGATTTTCAAGACAATTGTACAACTTCAAAAAAAAACTCAGAAAACGGACTTACTTTTCATACAGTATAATTATTTTACTGTACAACCTTTGATGCTAACAATACAAAATTAGAGTGTCTCAATTGCAATTCAATATTTTTGTTAACAGATGAAGAGACAAACTAGAATCGACTGCGGAGCAAACATCACGACACGGCGTCTCTAGGAAATGAGATATTGTTTACAATAGGTAACGTGCAAGTTACTGGCGCTTCTTCGTAACTGAAATGTATCAATGTATTAGATATGACTGTCAAACGACTGTCAAATTGTTGTCTTTAGTAAAGTGTTATCTTTGGTGGTCGGTGCAATGGAACTGCACTTGAAAACGAAAACGAACTTGCTGCGGACAAAACGAGTCCGTATGGTTGGTGTATTTCTTCTATGGCATTGCATTGTAACCAATCGTAATATTTTAAGGAGTCACTACGTGGCTGCTACGGTGGTGTCAGTTGCATTGCTGTCTTTATAGAACGGTTATTCGATATTTCTCACAGAAAAGATATCTATAATTGCGATGCCAAAGTATATTAAGTAAACGTGATTAGAGGATTTAATGGTTGTATGTCCATTTACTGTAGCGACATAATATTAAATGAATGTTAAGTGATACATACTGACAAGTAGAAAACGTAGATTTATATTAGTAGCTATATATTTAAGATATTTGTTGTTGTAGTAAAAATGAATTTACGCATTAGAGTTTTAGTTAAGGAAAAAAATTAGTCGTAATATTTATAATTTGATGCAGCAGTAGTTATTTGATGAATATTCCAGTGTAATCCAAAACATATAAACAATTATTATTATAAATTGTTTAAAAGAAATCATTATCCTGTTCTTGTCCCATAAAAAAAACTTCCTGAAATTATTTCGACGAATTTATATTTAATATATCCTTTTATATACTATGGCGTATATACACTGTTACTTCTTAATATATTATATATGTAACGCACATTTCAAATTTAAGACTCGATCGTATCAGTATACTCTATGAATTTTAAATGTTGTTTATGGTAACCTAAATAAAAAATAGAGTCCGATGTTATGGTGGGATTGGTCTAGAAAAAGAAACATTGTACTAAAAAAAATTATCAAAAGGTATTGCAGGAATTCGAAAATAAAATGATTCTAATTTGTCAGTTTTAAGTGCAATACTGAGCTTTTCGTGAAAAAGGGTCACTTCTTAAACTATGTACTTATTAGAAAAACTTTTCATATCAAAATAATATCATGATTCTAAAAAAAAAAGTAAATATAGAGCACAAAAATTTTAAAGATTTGTTAAGATTGGTGAATGTTGAACATTCTTTTAGTGTTGGACAATAATGTAGAAGGATTTTATGCTAAAATACGGAAAAGTTTTTTTTTATTGCAGTCGAAATATATGCGTATATATGAATTTGTTATGTATAATACAGTCTTTTATAAGAGGAAAATGAAGCTTTAAATCGTGTTAAAAAAAATTTAATAGTATATGAAAAAAATCAAAGTATACTCGTAAAATATTAATTTGTAGTTTTTATTAAATTTAAAAATATATCTGTGGCTTTTTAGAACAGCAGGCGGCCTAATTCAAAATTACGTAATTCATCAATAAAATGATTAAAAAAAATACTGATTATCTACGAAAGTTGACGAACCGTATATCAGCCCATGTCGTCACGCGATCATTTAAACCAATGGTAAACTCGGTGTCTTGGTCACTATAAAATTTTGCACATTCTGAATGCTGTGTAATAATGAACAATTTTAATTTGGGCCAAATTTTCTTGAAAAGCTGCGATAATTTGCTGTTAATGTTGCTTGTAATAAAAGTTATATTTTTATTTATCATAAGCATATTATATATCGTAGTCATTGATATTGTATACCAAAGTAATTTTTAAGTAAATCTTTATTGTGTCGTTTGCTGCTTTAGTTGCTCTATTTTTATTTACTTTTTTATATCTTGTCCTGTAGGCATAGGTAATATAACCTGCAGTATTATTTCTGCCTTCATAAGTGTCTGCGGGTTTCTGACGTTACACGGTTATTATGGTAAACGCAACGTAAAAAAATGGTATTGCCATATAATGTAACAGTTGCAGATATGCGTTTTCCCATCGAGTTATGAATAAAGAAAATGAGACGAAATGTCATTTAATTTGTTTGAAAACTTTTCTGCCAAATCATTACGTTGACAACTGCGCTCCGATTAACTAGCATGAATTCGAAACAATTGACGGTTGTTGTCAATTGTTTCACTTCAAAAAGATTACATATTTAATTACCAATACCGTTACCGTTTGTTTTGTAATTAGTTTTTTTTGCTGTTTTTCCCACACCGAATGGAACAGCCTCCCATAGTTAGAGATATTATCTTTATTACAATAAATACAGAATATTTTTAGAATATACAGAGACGTACACATAGGTAAGTTGTTGGCGCTGTACTATTTCAGTTTTCTAATTTGTGGTTTCAGTGCAAACGAGAGTTGATATTTAAAAGTGATATAAGACCCATTTGCTTGATGAGTTGTCGGGGATGGATAGCCTTATTTCGTCTCATTTCTGGTTATATACTCGATGCGTTTCTCTAACCGTTTACAACTCTTAAAAAACTGGCATAAATTATTTAAAATAAAAAAGCTTTGGCAATGAAACTATTTTTTCAGGATCTAAATTTCATATATTTGTTTTTTGAAACAAACCAACTTTTAGAAAAAAGACTTTATTTAGATCCGGAAAAGAAATCATTTCCAATATGTACGCGTAATAATCGCGAAAACCTAAAAACTTTATAAACAAAAAAGACCTGCAGATGTATACAGGGTTATTCCTAAAATACTAACAATCTCACAGGACTATATTGCTTAGGCACATCATAAACTACACCTTTTGTTATATCACGTTTTACAAAAAAGAAAATTCCCAAAAATAAGCTTTTAAGATTTTATTGTACCACCTATCTACCTACCTACCTTTATACCTTGATACCTTTAGAGATATATTTGGTAGTAAGGTAGTAAGTTCAAACGCGCAATGGTCCTCCTTGACGATCCCCACTCCTGCTCCTGTGTTTTGAAATCTTTTGTTACCGCACAGAGTTATCACCGTTAAGACAGAACTTTTTAAATATTTTTATTTTTGTATGAAAGTAAAATAAAAGTAATGGAACGCCCTACGAGATTGGTAGTATTTTACAAAGAACCCTAAATAATCTTTTCCAATTATAAAAGGGTTTTTACCGCGTTGATGTTATTAGGAATTTTCAACATCCACAAAATTTATACTACCAACAATGTGCTTCATTTTTGTATATCATGTTCAATCTTACACGTATACAATTCTTGTAGAAACTAAGCGGTGAATATGGTATCTTGTTCAGCATATAAATTCAGTGTGAAAACAAACAGACTGAGAGCCAAAACATTTTGTACAATTCTTGTGGAATAGCATATTTTGAGTATGTCACTATACTCCAGCCAAATTCGATACAAAATGTTAAAAAACAAAACGTTGCTAGCCAATGATTGCAGGCGTAAAGAACATTTTTGTCAATGTTTATTATCCACGCTAGCTCTACTCACGCTCGTGTGATTGGAATGTAAATAGTTAAACAGGTTATTGGATTATATGGAAGTACTTACACTTCCTTAGCCAATTATTATAAAGTTTGCAATGTACACACGCATACAAGCGGCGCTGCTATCTTTGTAAGGAATTATATTTGTCTTATTACACTATGGAAACACTGACCTACATTTTATTTTTAAACTTTCAGTTTGCTTCGTGTTTCGAAGATATTTAATCACAATTATTTTTAAGGTTTTATATTATTTTTACTGTAGTCAAAATCTAACATTTACATTTCGTGTTTTGGCTCAAAGTTTCCAATTATCACTTTCGACTGAGCTGCGATAAAGTAAGCGACTTAGTGGGTAAGTTTTGCTTTTAATGGAAGATGCTTGTAATTTCGTAATCCACGGAAAATGTTAAGGAATGAATTCATTAACGTGGATCTTGTAATAGTATGCAAAGAAAATTTGTAAGGTTCTGCTTAGACGAGCTGATTTATAGGATCGATATTTATGTAAGAGTGGTTGCACACGGCGAGTTTTAGAAGCTCGTTTTCTGCTATTCAGCCGCGTTGCGTCGCTAATCGGCTACCTTTACACAGACGCGCGACTTAAGCAGCGTTGCAATCGTGCGTTTGCATCGATGCAACCGCCTATAAATTGTAAGTGCCGCGATGCAATAGCGCATGTTACAAACGCGCGGTTGTATGGCTACTATAATTCTCCATGTGTGACTGTACTCTAAGATGTTTTGTTTTGTCAATACTTTAATAACATTGCGTATAAAAATCAGAATTTAAAACTACCACTTTTCTATGGCATCAATTATCTTTATCATGATGTTATTCTGTTTTCGTAATACGATAAATGATATATCATTTAAGTATAAGCTTAGATTATTATAATCATGAATTATACCGTAGTTTTAGAAATTACAGACGTTATTTTTAGAAGGGTGGTCATATTAAATAGACTTCCGTTTGTTTATTGCTTTATTTTTTTCTTCTAAATATACGCAGGATTTAGATAGTACGAGCATATTTACAAAATATATTTGTCGTTTAGTTCATCATAATGATTTATTCAACATTATTAGTATGATTTATTGTTTCTAGCCCTTGCTTTATACATAAATTAAATTTTAGTGTTTATTTTATTTCAAGGAGTAATATTAATGATCACCCGGAACCTTATTCTTATATAAACTGCGATCAAATGGAAATGAAAGTACAAGAGTAATCGGTTGCATGAGAGGCCATATTTTTATATGAGAATAGAATACGTGTATGACTTAGTCGTTTTCATCACGACCCAACTTTTAGAACCGACTACAAATCGAATGTTTATAAAAATTGGATTGTTGAATTGATTAAGATTTTTTTCTAAAGAGTGCAAAATCGGTACTGAAAATTGGATCGTGTGTAGACAGCATTAAAATAAATTAAATCTTTATACTGTATTGTAATTTTAAGTGGATGTAAGTACTTATACTGAATTATGGAATAAAATGTTGACATTTTTATATCGGATTTTCATTTCAAATTTCTTTTAAATTTCAAGTTTTTTCCTATTAAACCCTTTTTTAAACAAATAAGTTTATTTTGCTTATATCAGTAATAGGTTATCGTAGCTGAAAATACCACAAAAGTTAACTACCCGTTAACATACTACGAATAAGTGTGACGTATATTTCACTTTACAAGCATAAAAAATAATAAAGCAAAGTAAGTAAAGATTAGTAGAGCTCCTTGTGAAAGAGTTCGTCCAGAGTAGTACTGCCATCTTACCTATTTCCGCCGCCAAGCAATAATATGAGATGAACACAGTAATCTGTGTTCTAGT